TTCATCTTCTGAGGTTGCAACATTGCTTTGAAGGACGGTTTTCATGGTTTCAACTTCATCAACAACTTCTGCTTGCATGTTTAGTGTCTGGGCCTATAGGAATCAACATTCACTGTCAGAAGAAATCACATAGGAAAACATATGTGTCCACCGAGTTCTGAGAAATTTAATGGAATTAATTTCCTATCTTGAACTTCAACATTCTAACGTTAATCTACCATCTTGATCATTTTCCAATTATGTTGGAGCAACCGCAGCCATTCTTCTAAATGTAGATTACAGGTGATTCATCTAGCACAAATTATAAGGTCAAAGTTGACTTTTTAGTTGAACAGTTAGCTTGCAGTGGCTACTGGAGAATCCATCTATAAACTTCGATGTTTGGAATATATTACATATCGTCTTGAGGGATATTATACTTACTCTACCTTCGTACCGAACATTTCATATCTCATCCATAAAAAAAGAAAATTTGAACTAAACTTGATGTATCTTGACATAACTCATGTTCTTGCAGCTGTGATGGGGTTCAGCTACGTCCTACTGATTTTTTTCTTTTTTGATATTATTAAAACTCAACAAACTAGGCCTTCTCTAGACCCAAAAGATCTTTGTTTTCTGGTATTTAGAAAGCTGTAGCTGACCAGTGGTAAATATAGGAACATAAGGGTATTTTCGGAAAATGAGCTATTTTGTTGAATTCATGGAATTTATTTATTTAACTATATCATGAAAACATGAAAATTCGATGCCAAATAAATTCCAAGTAAAATTGAAGTAATATATTTCAAATTTCATTAAATTTGATACAATTTGGAAATAAATTATAATGATTTCAAACAGAAGTTAAATAGTCGTTCGTTTCTATTTTGGAGAACCATTAGGATCTATGTTGAACAAAAGTAATTTTACAAATTTTCAAGTTCTAAATGACTTTTCTCCAACGTATACCGTAGAAGTTAAAGAAGAGAAACATGTTAAGTGTTAAATTCTTGGTTGCAGGAGCCAACCTCGATCAAAGAAGTCAAAACTGAAAGTGAAAAGAAAAAAGGAGGGTATTAACTAGCATCGCTGGGAAATAAATCTGAAAACTACCTGAACCTGAGAAAAATTTTCTTTTTTATTTTTATTTTTCACATCGATAAAAAAGATTCACACTTTGAGCTTAAAGAAGAGATAAAAGAGACTTTTATACACTTCTCTAGTTTATATATATATATATGTATATAGGTAAAGACTGAATACGATCTGTTGATTCTGAGTTCTCGCACCTTTTATTTTCAGGGGAAGAATATGTATTTTTCTTCTCGACTCGCACATGATCTTGGGAACCTTTTAAACTATTCCAGAACATACTATTTGCTGCTATTGTCTTAGAACTTTATGGATGCAGAATCCAGAGTTAATCTAGATCTAAAACAAATTAGAAACAGTATGGTAGCAGTTCTAGTTACAAAATATCACAGTACAGCTAGATGGAAGAATTGATTCATACCGTTGTTGAAACTGATTCTTGAGTATCTGCTCCAGTTGCCATTTTTCATTAAAAACAGTAGTTGAAAGAAAAATGGAAGTGCATGAAAGAACTTGCTCTCGATCCAAACTCTACGAGCAGCTGGCTTGATGTCTTATTCACTGAAAAATTTCTTGTTAATGAGTCTATAGGTTTGTTAGCTGTTAGTCATTTGATAGTTATATTGCTAAAGCAGGCTAGTAGAGACAAATGCAACTTGTTAAGTGCTAATACATTGCTGAGTTGGCCAGGCATGCAGAGTGGTCCTACTGGTTGACCCACCACATGCCCCTGGCCCACAGCAGTCTAATGCAACTTTGTTAAAATTGCAAATATTGTTAGATCGGATTTTTTCTTACACCAGGGAATTGAGATGTTTCCACTTACAGAAAGGTGTCAAATCTTTTTAGCAGTTCTCTTTTTGTCAGAATGTGCTGTATATATTGTCTAGTGGGGCTCCAACTCCTTTTGTGAAATAGAATTCTTGGAATTCTAATCTGAAACAGAGCTTAAACAGTTCGACTAAAGACTTGCTTGTGATCATGGCAGACGTCAGTAGTACCCCTATAAGTTAATATTTTTCTTACTCTTTCTTTCATCATAATTATGGTTATTAGTAAAAATAATAGATTAAATTCTTTCTTCTTGGTTTTAAACTTTTCAGACAAGTCAGAGTCAATTTTTTTATGCTGTGTCAGAGTTGGAAGTAAAATCTGAATATTGACTGTTGCTCCGTGTGCATCTGAGGGGTGTATTAGTCTGTACCATTCTATAAATAATATAAAAAGTTATTTTTTATTAGCTTAAATTTTTAGAATAATTGGTTGATCACAATCTATTATTTTCTAGTGACAAGTAAATAGGTTATAAGCAAAGACGTTGATCTACTAACTAGCTTTATGTTCAGACTGTTGTAAAATATGCAGAACTTCTGTATTTAATTTTGTAAAACTTAGAGATTATTTTCCTGATTAGAGGTTAAGAACTTGCAGATTTGCTTTGAACTCGTGAAATATTGGAAGACTTTATTTCCAGCAGCACTGGAATGTGCTTGTAGAGAGTTATAGGGCTATACTGCTGGATTTGCAAGCCACTTTCGGAGATTTCTTGATTTCAAACTATTGTTTTAACCGCTGGATGTCTGCCATTATTTTGAACTTCCTATATTGTCTTTTTGTGAGTATTGCTGTAATGATAATCAACAATTTGAATTGATGGAAATATATCAAATCAAGGTTAGCTTTTATTGTCCGAAAGCAATGAATTCTTAGGACAAAAATTGAAAACCCAGGTAGTTGTAATTGGTCGGTGTTATGGTGGATGGTAATATATGTGTACGGATATATATATATATATATATGTTTATCAAAAATATATTATATACTCTCGCATGATAATAATTATGATCATTGTCTATTAAGATTATGAAAATTAAATATTTTTTTAAAAAAAATAAAACTTAAATATTCTTTTAATTGCAGCATGGTAGAAGATTCTGCATATTAAAGGTAGCATATTATAGTCAGAGTTGGCCACCAGATGGCCCTACCATTAGGTACCCCCAGTAACCACGAATTAAAATTTACCTTATATTCTTAGCGAAGAACAGATGTTTCTAATTTTAAATTCTGCTATTTAGGCTATTTTTGGAATAAATTTAATATTTTTAGTTTATTTACGAATCTTCGCTGAGTGTTTTTTTTCTTTTTTGGGCCTGTGGAGTTGCAGGTCTCTGAGTCGACGAGCTGCATGTCCCTCTTTTACCGGGGAGGCCATCACAAGTAGCTGATGTACAATGGTAAAAGCTAAATCGGTTCAAATGATAAGTTCTTTTGGGGATTTATAGGTTGGCGTTTATGTTGAACCCAATAATTAATTCAAACTGCAGTGTTTTATACTTCTTGTTCTTGTTGCGTGTTATTAAAGAGATATTTTGAAATCCATTTTAAGGAATACAAAAATAAAACTAATATGAAAATTTACTCTTACTACAATTTAAATAATGTAATTTTTTGGGATAATTATATGCTAAAGTTTTATGTACTCCAAAAAGTTTAACAGTTTTATGTAATATATGAACTTTGTAACAAAATAAACCAGGAAAACCACATTTTTTTTATGTGATAAGGGTGGGTAAATCACAGAGAATATATTGTACTTTATTTGGTTATTGAGCTTTAGTCCTTTGTTTCTTCAGTTTTGTACCCGAAACAAAGACAATACTTTGCCTCGTAAATTAAAAATTTTTTGAATCGCATCAATTTTTTTTTTTAATTTAAATGCTACCTAACCATAACCAGAAGAAAGAGTATATGACTGCCTGGTTCATGCGTGCCCTTAAATAGCTTTTTGTTCTTAATTTCCCATAAATTATATTGCTAGTTGCTGTTATTATTTTAACTTGTGTCTTTGTGTGACGCAAAGCTGCCGGTCTTAAATTCTATGATCAAATTTTCACAGGTATTGTTGATGTGAAGGTGGACCCTGGTAAGCAATAACATCCCAATGAAAATACCAACTTCTGTGACGGAAATAACCCGTAAGTATGAATTTCTTATTGCTTTGTTATATCAATTATATATGCTTATGTGTAAAGCATCCTGGCATGACACTCAATCAAACCGACCAAACAAAATATTTTTGTCCTTGTTGGCCGCCCATACGTGGATAACCAGGTGGAATTTGAATTTTGCTCCTTTTCTATTTAGAAAACCCATTGACGATTATGAGTTTAAAAAATTTGCTAGAAAAATGTTGCAACTGTGATTAGTCTGTCTCTTCATAAGATTGAATTGTCAAAGTACATGCATCCGCTATCTTATTTCAGTTTTAGAATTTAGATGTTTTTTGAGAACTTCAGTTGTCGTTTCATTGTATATGGGTTCTATCTATACATGTAGACATAAAAAATTTATAATAGTGAGAAAAATTAGACCCTTTTCTCTTTCGTCCGGGAAGTAAATATGTTATAGAATTTGACTTGAGAAGAAGCTTGGGATTATTGCAATATGAAATCCTCAAGTAACACTCAGAAATTACTTAGAAGTTTAGAATAGTTCTATTTCATTAGCTTTTAGAATTTCCCTAGTTTAATTTATTAGAATTTTTACAATAAAATATAATATATTAATTAAAAATAAATATATTATTATTAATAATATAATAAGAGTACGTCTTCTAAATAACATATTAGCAAAATTAGAAATACGTTTCTTAGATAAATAATGTATATATGATAATTCTTTTATATATTTATTTGTTCTTAGATAAGTTAATATCTAATACTATAAAAAGAATTTTTTTGAGAATCCAAATCAATTAATTGAGAAATGTAATTTCTACTAAATTAACAAATGCATTTTCATCATACATATTTTTGTTATACACTCTAAACAATACGTTTCCCTTTAGATTATGTTTTGAATAAAATATAAGTTTTATGAATTTCATGTTGAAATTCCACACTTCACAGGGAGGGAGGAACTTTTCTTGAAACATTCAAGTAAAAAGTGAACAAAATACTGTAAATGCTAACAATGACAAGAGAATTTGAAATACATTCTTCTAACTATATTTAAAATTTATGAGCTAAATTTTCATTTTTTTTTTTAATAAAATTTTCATTTCTCTATGTTCAATTAGGTGTAATTACTTATTTCAAACACAATCTTATTTTTTTTCCAAAAGAAAAATTGTCACTTCAACTCTAGTGTTTAATCTAATATCAGAACCAAGGCCTTGGTCCTCTTGGTTCAAGTTTCCCTTTTTGCTGCATATTTCTCTTGTATGTCTATATTTATATTATGTTCGTATCTAATAATGTTAATGGTACAATATAAATAGTAAGTTGAACTTTTTCCTACTATTAGGTCGAGGAATACCTGGCTGCTAAGTAGGTTGTATCTTTACAAATACAAAGTTGACTATTTGCTTCAGCAGTACTCGTTCTGGTGAATAGAATTTTTAATTTCTTGGATCTTACTAGTAGATAGCTAACCTAGAATGCTTCCAGGGCAGAACAAAGAAAGAATCATTGATATTCATGAACATGGTCGCCATGTCACTTTCTTAATTCAATAAGAGCATAACCTAGTGTCTGGCTTTGAGTCATAGCCCCTATTCTCAGAAGAGAAACTGGATAATTGAAGGCTGTTGTGGGGTGGGTCCTGCTTGATGTGAACTGCACTTATTTCTTACTTCTGATCATATCTTAGTTATCTACCCACCATGAATATGGATTTATGATGTCATAAATCCATATGTGAGCCTAAATTCCCTGTTTAGCAATTTGCTGCAGACACTACTTAAATGGTTGATTGGTGAAGAAATTAAATGTGATTGGATAGAAAATTATTATTATATCTAATACCATTAAATTTCTCAGAGTATATCTAAATGCTTTAATTAATTTCATAAATCGACAATTGAAATTTAAAATGACGATTAGTTCATTTAATATTAAAATCTTGCCTGGCTGAATATTATTAGTGGGGGTGAACAAAATTCTAAAATTTTGATTTGAAGTTTTATTTTTTTTCATTCATTCACCCTTGAAAAAATGACTCTTCGTACATTTTAATATAAAATATTAATCAATTAAATAATAGATAAGAAAAGAATCAATTTAAAGATAAGTACTTCTGGTAGAATATTATTTTGTTGGTTTCCTCCCAAAAAAAAAAAAAAAACTTTGTTGGACTAAAATAACTTTAACAAAAAATAAGAAGAAAATTTGTTTGTCCAACTTTGCTCCTTTTTTCGGTGCAAGGGGTTTGATCTGATTTTTTCTCTCATTCGAGTAAGTAGAGAGATTTAAATCACTCGTTTGTTCTTTTTAGTATTTTCTATATAAAAGAAATTAGGAACAGAGAATTTCCTGTTCTTATTTTCAAATTGGTTTTAATGTACACCAGTACTGAATTTTTTTGGGTTGTACACATTTTTCCATTAAAATTCTTAGATTGTTTAGAGGATATAATGTTACAGAGATAAGGTATAGAGATTTATAATAATTATTACAATTACAATGCTTAGTCATGACTAACTATAATTAATTTTTTTGTTTATGTTTTTATTTTCATTTAAAATATAAGAATTTATTGTAGTTTGTATATACATGTTGGATAACTCTCTTTAAATAGTTTGAGTTAATAATTCAACATGCTGTTAAAGTCAATTTTACTCTATCCTTTCGTTTTGTCATTTATTCTATTAATTTGTTAACAAGTACTGTCCGTGGGAAGAAGTGTATTAAGGAATATAATTTTATATTGAATAAACATGAGGATCCGAAAAAAGTTTATGTATTTGTTGTGAAATTTTTTGGTATTATATAATTTTTGGGTTAAAATTAAATAGAAACAATATAATTTAAATGCCATATTATAAATATTACAATCATGTATTAACATAAAAATAAAAATAATTCAGACTTAAAAGACAAACCGATATGATATATTTTCTCTATAAATAAATCTAGGTTTGGTGATTATGCAAAACTTGATCTCTATAAACATTAGATTGATCCTGTGGATACTTCCCCACAAAGGACATATAATGGCCAATGAAGAATCATGGTCAGGCTCGTCGTCTCTGCCTTTTTCGTGGGTCCACGGTCTTGGTCGGTCCATTTTCATGTGACCCCACCACATCGTATGTAAAAGTAAAGGCTAATATATGTCTTGGTGGTGCTAATTTGTTGGTTTAACCGTCCATTGAACCCCACCATTGGGTTCTAATGGACCAGGCTGTATTTGATGGTTGTTGTCATCCCTCATGCTTGTCCCGTTTTCACAAATTTGAAGATATTAAAACTTGGAGCTTTCTTTTGGCTGCATGGAGGAATTATTTATTCATTTGGTCTTTTTTCTGATTTGTTATTTATGCGCTCTAAACTTTTTTTTTTTTTATAGTGAAAACTTTATGGTGACAGATTAGATTTTATAATTTAACTTTTCTTTTTATTTTAGTTTCGGTATAGTGGAACATGATTTAAATTTGAGCAGTAAGAAAACTAATATTGATCAGTAAGAGAATTTACCATTATCCAAAGCAGCCTTCATTGTCGACATTCACCACATATTCAATTAGGTTAAAAAAAATCATAAAACTTTTTGTTAAATTATATTTGCTATTCATCATGGAAATAAGAAAACCTCAGCAAAGCAGCCTTCACTGTTGCTTCCTTCCATCACTAAAATTGCTGACCACCATAGATTGGCAACCACCCACAAAAATGGCCTTTGTTGCTGGTTTGAGATGCTTAGTCATGTCTTTGTTGTGCGTCCAAATTCTTTTAGTTGCATCTTCATGTTCTATCTACACAGTATAAGTGTCACTTTCTTGCTTTGTCTAGAACTCATTGAATACTTTTGTTCAGTCGAGTGCCGCTCTTTTGCTTAATCACTCTAAAGACAAGCATTTTATCCAAGTGCTCATGAATTGTACGTGCGCCTACCTTCAATGTCTTCATTAGTCGCAGGTCAGCCTCTATTTATCGATAACCTAATCGCATGCATAAAGTCCTACACCATCTTACTCTAGTACTCAACCCTGGAATTTTAACAGTGTAGTTTCCACTATTAAAAGTATGTCCAAATCCATTTGTCATCCAATTGGATATTTGACAATTTAATTATCAAGATTTTTTGAATTGTCTCTTAATTAAAAGCATGTTAATTGGTCATTTGATCAATCAAGTGAGTTATTAAAAAGCAATTAAGGTTTATTGAGATCTAAATAATGAAGGCTTTTACCGAAGGAAAGCACAAGTCTTCCAAAATTTTAATAGAGGAACCCTCTCCAATGAGTTTGTAAGCTCTTTTAGTAATCAATTTTTTGGTATTTAAGAGTCTTTTACCAAAGAAGGATCACTTATTTTTAATTTGAGATCACCCATGGTTTAGGTTCCTCTTTTACTAATTTTCAAGCTAGTTTTACTACTAAAGTAATTTAAAGAATTTAGATTTTTGGATGCTAAACTGCCATGTTATTTTGTATATCTCACAAAAAATATTATGTTAACTTATTTAATTCATCACGTATTTTCTTTAAAATAATAAAAGTAGACATACATACTAAATCACCATGTCATCTTAGAATCAACACTATATTTGTATTCTCCTATATAAAAATAAATGCTGGAAAAAGATCTTATGAATTTTGAGGAAATATAGGATTAGAACTTTTAAAAAGGTTAAAAGTATTAAACTTTGAATTGATTTGTAATATCTACCTAATCATCGAAGAGAATGCCTTGATCATCTTTGAGAATAGAAATTAGCAATGTAGTTATATGGAGTAATATTAGTTAATAATGAAAATAAAGTATACTGCATTAGACTGTAGTGATTGATACATGTGACCAATCTCCTTTAGTATAGAATAATCTAAAAAATATATAATATAATATGATATAACAATTTTCGGACCATGTCATATATGCTCCTTAACTAGTATAACCTTGTATAGTTATAGAGGACAATTTGTTTCCCACCTCTCTAAGTAAGATTTCAATATGTATGCTTAGGAAGCTCAAAACTTTTTTAAAAAATTAATTAATTAATTAATTAATTTAGTTGGGAAAGAAGTGTACGGAGCCCAACTACAAATGAATCTTGAAGCCAATATCCTGTCACGTGCCTGTGGCCCGGCCCAAGAAGTTTGTTTTCCCAATACGACGGCGTTTACCATCGCAAAAATATTCCTTCGCTGTTGTGCCGGTGATTGGGCCCTGACTTGCCGCGGGAATTCTCAGCCGAACCAGGGGTAAATTCGTAAATCTATTGATTGAGCGGGAAATAGAGCCGTTGCTCACTAAAACTCTTAATTTTTGGCGCCAAACCCTTCACTCGTTTTCGGCTGCCCGTTAAATTCCGGGGCAGCCCCCTTTCTCTCTCTGTCCCTCTTGCATTATACTTCTCTTTTAGCAAATTTCTTTTGTGCTTATCTTTGATTTGGTTAGTCCATATACAATCATTAAATAATATATACGCACACATATATATACATATATCTATGACAGAAAAAAACCGATTTCTTATTTTCCTTCAAATTCACTCTCTCGTTCAAAGTCTTTTTCCTCATTTTCCCTCCCTCCCTCCCTCCTCTCCCTCTCTCTCTCTCTCTCTCTTCTACTTTTTTCTCGCTTCTTCAAAGAGAAGAGCCTTAGCACTCCCTTTTCTCATATTCTCTCCTCTCAATCTTTCTCATAGTTTCTAAGTTTGATTTGTTCTGATTCCTGAATCCAATCTCCCTTCTTTTTCTCCTCTTTGATTCTCCCTATTTTGGGCATTTTTTCCCTCAGGAAAAGAGTGTCTCCTTTGGCAATATTTTCTTTTTCAATCTGCTTCTCCTTGTCTCTGTTCATTTCCACTGCCAGAATTTGATTTCCTCATTTGGTTTGTTCTGTTTCCCCCAAATCTCCTGCTTTGATTTCTCTCTTCGTTTTTCTCCGTGATTCTCTCTGTTTTGGACTTTTTTCTTCCTAAAGAAAGGACTATTCCCTTGGTACCTTTTTTCCCCTTTCACTCTGTTTCTCCTCTGTTTTAGTCGATTCCCACCGCGAGGAGACCATTTCCTCACTTGGGTTTACTCTATTTTCCCTAAAAGTTCCCTGCTTTGATCTAGTTAGAAATGGGTTTTTCCAAGAAGGCACAAGTTGATGGAGGGTTAGACTCCGACGGGAAGAAGTGGGTAATCGCTAGTATTTCCATGAGGACTTCGTTGAAGCCAATAAACACAAAACCAAGAGCAAAAGACACTGAAGAAGATGAAGAGGAAGCCTGCTCAACAACACCAACAGCGAAGGAAACCAGGATACCAGAAAAATTGCCATGCCCACCGGCACCAAGGAAGCGACGACCTGCTTTGAGGTGTCATTTTAATGGCTCTAGGGAGTTCTTTACCCCTCCTGATTTGGAGACAGTATTCAAACGCCATGTTGAGAAAGCAAATTGATCTTGTCCAAGAGAGAGAATGAAAAGTTTGAGCTTTAGATTTTGTGCTTTTTGCTTCTTTCTTGATTTGTTTTTCTTTTTTCCCTGTGCTGTTTGTTTAGTTTAGTATTAGGCTCTCTTCTCTGTTAAAGGTTCAGCGAAGAGAAGATGTTCATGTACAAAGATATCGCACCCACTTAATGGGTAAACTCTAGTTTAGTCTTAGTTTATGTTCTAGCTAATGAGAAATTTCTCGGTGGCGAGAAAATTTTTCTTTTATTTTTCACATAGTGTTTTCCTTCTGGGTGTCTTGTAAGCTCTAGTTTTCACCGTTAGTTATAAACATAAGCATAAAAAATTGCATCATAACTTCTTTTATGAAACTCTTATTTTCAAAACTTAATCTAGCTTTCGAAAAAATTTGGTGCTTGCTATATCACTAATAATTGATATTATGATTTGGAGCTATTCTTACCATTCTTCCTTGCTTTAACTATAGAATATTCTTCTCTATTATTACTCCTTGGATTGGTCTTGATAAATGATTTATTTGTATTTCATTATTTCCTCTCAAAGTTGGAACCTTTAAAATTTTTTTTTAGAAAAAAATCATATGATTCTTCTTAATGACTACTTAGAGGTGGCAATGCAATATAGATTTAGGGTATAGAGTATTTTGTACTCTCATCTCACAACCACCAAATATTTATATATATATATATAAGCAATAACTGGTCTTGAAGTTCTCACTTTCCTTATTCCCATGACCACCCAGCTCCAGCTCCAGTTCTCTCACCCAACACAAACACACACGTGTAAGGTGCATTTATGATAACAATGGTTTTTGCATAGCTAAGAGAATCTATCTCTGCTGAGTCGCCAAAAGTTGTCCAAACAAAATTCAAAAGGAGATCTTTTTCACGGCAGCTGAGATGCTGCTGGTGGTAGCTGCACGGATGCTTCTCATAATTTTTGATTGACTTCTGACCAAAACTCCTTATATCATGACCTAACCATTGTCATCCAAGTGCTTCTTTTCATTTTAATGCTTTCTTAAATTAGTTATTGAATTAGTTTCCTGATTTATTATATTCTTTGTCAAATTGAATTAATTGAAAAAGCTTATATATATATATATTAAAAAATAAAAATTAAAAGAAAATTAATATTTTTATTATTTAAGCATATAATTAAAATGCATCCAAAACACTATATATAGTGGCATCCACTATATGTATGTATCTCTCCCCTCTCATGACCCACAGAAACCCTGCCACAAAACCTTAGTCTCTTTCCGTTGAAAAAAGGAAGAAAACAAAAAACAAAATATTAGGGGAAGTAGATTAAGAATCCTATGACGGGGTTGAAGACTTATGAGGTCTCTCAGTTAAACTGATACTAAATTCTTATTTCTGTATTGTGAATAAAATTATATAAAAATATAAAAATTTACTGAATAAATGAAATGTGAAAAAAAAAATAAATAAATGAGCAAGAATTACTGTAAGGTATAAATTTCAGAGTTTATAATCAAATAAAATATAAATTTACATAGTAAGTAATCACACTAAATTTCTATTTTTATACATGAAATATTTAAATACATAATTATTGCATATTATTACTAAATTATTATTATTTATATTTTATATCTTTTAGTTTAATATATTTTAAGATAAATTATATATATTCTGATATTAAGTATCAAATATTTGAAAAAATGAGAAATTTTCACATTTCAATTTCCGGTATTGCATACATACATATATATATATATATATAATATTGATTGTGTGAAGCACTTAGTGACAATGACATCTTTGAATTTGGTTCTTTGGAGTATCATGAATTTTGTTTTTTTATTGTGTGTGGATAAGATTTTAAGCACATTTATCGTAGACAAATAATGTTACTTTGGATTTTTTTTCTCTGTTACTGAAATTTTATTACATAATCCAATTATTTTAGATAGTATGAAAAGCACGAGATTCTAATCCAAACTGTGAGAATTCTGTCTCTTTTTTTATTAATTATTACTCTGTAACATGCAATTTTATTGCCCATTACCTTTTTTATTCCTCAGCTTTTGTTTTTGTATTTTTTTTTTCTTACATTTATTGTTTAATATTTATTTATTTATTTATTTTTATTATCTTCTTTGTCGTATGTATAAAATCGAATTTATTTAATTTTTAAACTAAATTTTTAATTTTTTAAATTTTTAAATAATCTTTCTTCATTGATCGTGAATGACTTTTTTTTTTTCAAATTTTGTTTTGTAGGAACAAATTAGAAAAATTAAGAATTAAAACCATCTGATTTGATTGTTCTTTTATTGAAGATCACACCCAAAATGTTTTTTCTTTGTTTTACCTAAAAATAGGTAATATAGTTTTTTTTATCAGTTATTGAAAATTAGTAATTGATCGGTACGTTATTTCACAGTGCCTGTTCGTTAATTATTATGAAGGAGACTATACATACATAATATACACACACAGATATACATTGCCTTGCTTTAAGAGTTGACTAATGAATTAGGAGTTCGCCTGATCCCAGGGTTATCAAATTTGCATGTTAAAACAAATTAAAGGCCTGTAGAGAGATTAGGGTTCTTTAAGAAAGCATACAGTAAAGTTGTTCTGAAAATTTAAAGTCTTACGTTATCATGTTGTCATTATCTTAGATTGGATAAGCTTACAATATTATTTACAGTATTATATATATATATATATATATATATATATATATATATATTACTGATGTTATCTTTAATTGGATGTGGTCTTGGTGAAATACTTTGTTTTCTAGTGGGTAGATAACTATGATTATTTTACAAATATTATTGCTGCCATTTGGGGAGCAAGAAAGTGCCAATATCTTCCCAAGTAAAACACAAGCAGCCAGTTTATTATTTATTTATTTATTAAGAAACCCAGTTTAATTTTAAATTAATGATTCTTTTCTTATGTTACTTCAAAATAAAAATGTCGTTAGTTGCTGATAATGCTAAAAAAACAATAGTTATTTAAATTTAATGTTACTTTAATTAGTATTTGAAATTTATAAGTAACAATTTTGGCTCCACATTAATTCGAGTCTTAATTTAAAAGAGAAATTTAGAATTCAACTCTTTCCTAAAAAAAGATTAAGATACATTATAGTCTACTTAATATATATATATATATATATATATAAAGTTTATATTAAAATATGCATATGTGGTAAATTTATTTTATTACTTGATGCATAAAGTATGTCCACTTATACCTAATGGGCTTAAATCAATGCAGTCAAAACTTATATTTTATTTTATAACTTGATTTGCTTTTATGTTAATGGATTTGAATAACATTTGTTTTTCTTTTTGAGAACAAATGGTGGATTAACATAAAGTTATAATAATATCATGGGTGTCGATAAATTTTTAATTAAATATTTAATATATTTTTCTTATTTATAAAAATTTAAAAAATTAATATGTGTGTTTTGGTATGTATCAATATAAAATTATGTTATTATCTATATGTATATGTATTTATTATTTAATTAATGAACTAAAATATACGTACTTTTTATAAATAAATAAATAAATAAGTAATATCTCATTACAGTTAGATATATTAACTTGTTTATTCAAATAAGAAATTAGTACTGTATTTTTGCAAAGATTTGTTATATTGAGGTTTAGGTTTTGACCCATGTGAGTAATAAATATTTGTAATTCTTATATTTTTTTTTATAGTAATTTTAGATTCTTATTTCTCTATAAAAGAGATTGCATCAATCTAAACACACACACACACACACGTACATATATATATTATGTTCTTGATTTTCTATTTAAATTACTTCTTATGGTAAATATTTTATTTGTCACATTTTTTTGGTCCAATCCCTACCCTAAGGTGAGCGGCATATGCTTGTTCTATTGAGATTGATTGATTCTCATACAAAATCTTAGTAGCTAACGTCATACAACTTATTTCTTTGCGGGGGACCAAATAAATATACCCAAATTTTGAAAGAGACATGACCGACGCTGCACGTCACTGTCTTTTTCAATTTCACCAGGTTCATCATTACCCTTTTTATTCAGCCTCCAGTACTGTGTAGGATACAAACATTTTTCTCTTCATCATAAAACAAAGTTTTTTCTGATTAATGCTATATATAGATATACATGTCTATAGGAGTTTCTAAACCTTCCTGTTTAAATTATAACATGTTCTTGGATTTGAAATAAGACTGTTGTCCCTCACCATACTTGTACTAAAATGCACAGAGACTTTCTCCCCCTATAGTACACAAATTCTAACACATTACTTTTCTATGAAAAGTAATAAAATTCTTAGCTTATTAGCTACCATTTGATGGCTATAAATATTCTTAAATAGATAATTACGTTCTTCCTTCAAATTTAATCAATACTTATAAAAGAATCAACCGTTTGCTAATTGTATAATTAATATTTTCACTTTTATTTATAAAAGTACGAGTTTGAGTCAAATTTATAAATATAAATATTGATAAATAATTAAGTTCTTACTTAAAATTTTATTAATATTTATAAAAGAATCAATAATTTCTAATTGAATAATCTGTAATTTTATTTTTTTATAAGATTGTGAGTTTGAGTTATGCGTCTCATGTATATTTTTGTTAAGAAATTGATTTTATTAGTTCCTTATTATAAGTTTGATTTTATTATCATTGATGTGTAAATATATAAAACTCCGATTTTTTTTTCTTTCCAACGGCGTTACCTCAAATATGTTAGTATGCATGACACACGTATATCATTCCGTAAATAATTCGATCATACTCTTGAAGAAAATATTGAAAACCAATTGCTCAATTTCTAAAATTTCTCAACTGTATATCCATCATTATAGTAGTTTACGAATTTTACAAATCTCCATTTCAAAAATGAGTTACATTACTACCAACTATGTAATTATTCTGTTTTACTAGTCATACTCTCTGCTCCGTCTCCTCTATACACTAGGTTCAAAAACACACAGTTCTGATCCAATCATCAGTCTTATTTCATCTGTAATTAATTGAGAATGAGTATATACAAACTCAGTCCAGTAAATTTAAATAACAAATATAGCATGAAAATCCAATTAAATGTCTATTATTCTATGTTTCCCATCCCCTCGGTTACATTGGTCACGCCTTCTTTTCTACCCACGCTCTCCTATCATTACTTATCTAACTCTATTGTAATTATCATATTTCCTTGATGATAAATTATCAACTCTACTAGGTGTAGTCACCCCA